TGTCGTCGTTGACGAAGGCGATGTCAACGCTAAGATTATTTTCTTTGGCTCGCTGCTACTCGTTCAGCTTTGATAAATTTTAGAAGCATGCTGCCCGATCACAACTTAAGCGCAACCCAGACCTACTTCTCGATTACAATACGCGTTTGTCGCTCGACGGACTATTAACGATTGACCTTTCATGACTACTTACAACGAGGACCGAAAACACAGTCAGGAAGCATTGCAGCGGGTAACGATGATGCGCTGCAAAATTTATTGTCAGCCCAAGGTCGCTCCTACTCTCGATCGTCTCAGGCTGTGTCTCAATTTAAAGCGTTAGACTATTCTGATCTCCAACAGAGCAGGCCAAGTTTGAGGAATTTTTATCATTAAAAGTATCTAACTTAGAAAGTTTAGATTTAAATGCACGTATAATTTCGAGGGTATCTTGTAAAATTTGTATTGAAAATCATTTGGAAATAGAGTCGCGACAAATTTTTCTTGCAATGGAATCTTTTCAAATGGAAGCTACGTAATTTTAAAAGCTATCAACTCGATAAGCTATAAATTAACACAGTATCAACGTAAACTAATATTCCATTTTTGATAGTTCAATTGATATATTTCTAATTTTAAATGTTGGCAAAAATACACTTTTTTAATAATTAAATAAAATTAAAAGAAAGGTTTGTAATTTAAGAAAATATTAAATTCGAGTATTTTCAATTGCGATTTTATACCCGTTTCCTTAAGGTTGAAATGCTCATGCCTCTCCGAGTTATTTATTTTTTATCCGTCGTTCGACACTTTCATCTAGATAAGAATTTTCCCCATCCTTTGTAGCCACTTTTGTGACTCGTGGAGCTATCCATGTACGAACAGTCACTATAGCGACGCCCGTCGAGACTACCGTTGTGTATCAGACGACTACCATAATGCAGCGACAAAGTATAGTGGACTTTCCCGGTAACAGCACCCTAGAGGATCGAAGGTGCTTTTATTTCGATCTTTTTATTGTCTAGAAAGTTTTATTTTTATTAGAGATAAAAAATTGGTAATTCCATTTAAGGGGTCACTATGGTGCAGTGTTCCTCAACATTTTTGGTCTGAAGGTCCATTTTGTTAGATCTGATTCTTACTTCACACCCTTTAATTTTTAAGAGCTGAAAATTGCACGATAATCCCCAAAATGATGTTGGTTAGGTTTAGGTTAGACTTTAGTAAGACCTAATCAAAGAGATTTGACAGGAATAAAAGTAAAATAATAATTCGTTTGCTTATAATTTTAACTTGACATAAAAGAAATAACATACAAATAAAATAAAAAGATACATACAAATAAAATATTTACTATACTTTTAATCTAACATAAATAAATAATAAGCTACATGAAATTTAATGTTTTAATGAAAACCTTGAGGATGCTAATCTTTGCAAAGTTTAATAATAAAATATTTGGTTCTAATTTTGAAAGATAATCTTAAGTCTTCTTGTTTGCAAATTACTAAACGTATACATTCTTTACAAAGGAACATATTTAACCAGCATAAGTTAATTTTTGACATGTTTTTCTTTTACTGGCAATCCGTCGATATTGAATGGGCGAAAACAGTTCCTAAAGTGGGGGATGAACAAAATTAAGTCAGAAAAAGAATTTACGGCATTCCTTCTTCATAATCATTGAAATCATGCCATAAACAATTTTCATATTATAAAAACAAGGGTGATATTTAGCTGGCCCGTATTTTCATTATTATAATATTGTAGCTTATAAAAAGAAAAATTCAAACATGTATAACATGTTGACCTTTGGATTGATAATGCAATAATGAAAATAACCCATACCGCTTAGAAAACGCCAATGACCTCAAAATCTTTGATAATATGACCTTGAAATCTTTTCCTTTTTTTTATTATAGTATTTTTCCTCTAAACCAAACAATGTTTTCCTGTGTGATTTTTTCTTATAAAAAAAAAAAAACACGCGAGATATTGAAGATGTAAGAAGTGGGACAGCCTGCAAAATATAAGAGATAGAATGATCTTATTGCAGCTACTTCATTATAATTGTATCTGTATTGAATGTAAAGGTTAGGTCAATATTTCTTCCAATGCTTTATTTATTCGCAATAGAGGGTACTTTATTTTCCTTGCTATTGATACTACAATGCTTGGATCCCCTTTTAGATACAGACTCTGATCAAAGGGTTTTCTTTACACAGAAAAAGAACAGATTCTTCCAGATTGCCTCAACAACAAAAAATACCTAAGTAACATATATTGTCGAATAACTATCCGCCCTATATTTATACTGCTGGTAATTTAAAAATGTTAACTAGAAACACTTCATCTAACATTGGAATTTCTTTCATAAAGCAGACAAATCTCCCTTCTTCTTCGGTGCCCCAAATAATTTGATTTACGACCGTATATACGACACAACTATAATCTTAGGATCTTTTCCTACCATATAGAAGCACACATATATCCCTATCCCTAAATCAACAGACCCTCCAACTCTTAATTCTCTTCGTCCTATTTCTCAACCTCCTTTTCTAACCAAAGCTTCACAGCTTCTTAAAAGGCTGTGCTATATCCCGTTCCTACGTCACGTTCGCAACTCTGCCCCTGTTCCTGGCTTTCAATGTGATTTCCGAAAACGTTTTAGTACTATCACATTTCCTTTGCATACCTTAAACACAGTATTGCTGTATATTATACCCTTCTTGAAGCCAAGTCAGATTTGTTTGAAATATTGTACTCTGTCATCCCCAAGAAATTAATATCGATTTAAATTGCATCATTTTGTATAAGTTAATTTAGATAATTTCGCGTATAACTGTACGGATCATATGCTAGCGTTTAAAAAAAACTATATTTCTCTTGTACTTAAACGAACCGGAGAAACGGAACACATTTGACAACACTTAACGAAACTATTGAATCTTTATATGCAAAATTGTAGCCCTTATATTATGATAATAAATTTTTAAATTAAGAGAATTAACGAATTATTCAGGATATCCGTCTTGAGTGCTTCAACCTTCATTGATCTGCGATACTTAGGCTAGTCAACGAGGTACAGTTAGGCTCGTTACACATTCGATCAATATTTCCTGTCTGTGAATTACTCTGTGTCATCGTTTAACATTTTCATCTCATCTAAATAAGGAACTAACTAACATGCGCAATGTGTCAAAGTTTTCTTCCATCTTCTCCGAAATTCAAATTTACCTTCCTGAGCAATGCTTCTGATATTGGATATAGCTATACGTTTTGGTCTTCTATACGGCTGCTCATTTTTGTGCTCAACTTCAGTAATTTGAGAAATTCTGGGAATATTTGCACTACCAAAGTTTATATTAACCGAGTATGATTCCCTCGAGCATGTTGCCTCACCAATCTTCTGTTATTACATCACCCGCTAGAACTGTCTGGCACACTTTATCATCTAATAGACGTTCTAACTTGGGTATAAATCAAATGTAAGTTCGTCGTAAGTCGTTCAATCATTATTCTATATACTGGTCCATATAACTAATAGGTAACAGAACAAAATTAATTAAGGGGTCAGGTCTACTCAGCGGCGAGAAAAAATGGGTATTTTGAACGATTTTTTTACAGTAGTTTAATATATTGTATAAAACAAGTAATACTACGTTATTACTCTATGTTTTAACTTTATTCGATAAAAATTTTAAAACGAAATATTTATTGGTAACAAAGTTATTGCCATATTTGTTGCACCCTGTTTCACATGTAATGCTTTGCAGTGACCATCATAATTTTTTACTTGGTAATCGAAAATCAATCCGACAAAAAAAATCATTAGTTTAATAGTTAATCTAGCACTTAATCGTAGCTCTTTCTTTTTTTTTTAAATTAATAAAATAGTAGCCTCTGATCGTTTACGTACGTATTTTCAAGGAAAAATCCGCATGCTTTTTGTTTAGAAAAATTTAAGTTTTCATCAAAACGAAAAATCGGATGATCAAGTACTAGTTTTTTATACCTAGAATAATGTGTAATAAATTTCATACAAATTCGTGAAATGATTTTTGAATTACAGTGGTCACCGATTATGAAAACATAGTTTCGAGAAAAACAGGTTTAAAGTTTTACTAATTATTTAATTACTTACAGTGAGATGTCTACTCCCGGGCCATATAATAGTTCTTCTGCTGATGTAGAAATATCTAAAATATCGAATTGATTATACGAAGCATTCTGCCTTCCCCAGTGTTCATATTAGGGCGTTTAACTACCACTTTGTCACACTCAAAATTAGTTTTTTTCAGCGTATCGACGAGCATTAGGTCCATTGATAATATTTAATAATGTATGTGCACTGATAATAATTAATTATTGACAATAATTAATAATGCATTTTGGGCTTATTTTCCACACCAGCTGGTTGAACTTTTTATTATTGTTCTAGTTGAATCCACCGACACATCTTGAGAGTAAATTATTATTAGTAAGGTCTTCAGAAATTGGGTTGATGACTTTCAAAACATTAGACGGTAAGAAGGTAAAATCTTGATTATAAGAAGCGCATTCTCCATTTGCTTCAGCGCATTGGTACGAGTACTAAGGGTCATTGCGCTTAGTAATTTTAGGATATCTCGAAAACTATTCAATGGATTAACTTGAAATTTGCGAAAAGTACTTTCAAGATATTATACTTTAAGAAAATGCAAATAAAAATTGATTTTTTGAAAATCCCGAGTGGATCTAACCCCTTAAATAGAAATAGAAATGCATGGTTCCGATACGTACAGTAACTGTGTTTATTTTTATGTATGAAAATTTTCTCTAATAAACAAAGGTATCGTTAAATAGGAAAATATACTGTACAATGTATTAGAGACTCATTAATGAATTGTATCTTTGTGTAGTGCAGTGACACATATTGGATTATATTTTGGGAAAGAAATCCCTGCTTTTCACTTTAAGGATTATTATTTCACTTGGCACTAACATCGTGTAAGAAGAATCTGTTCTTTATTGATTAATTATCTATCTAAATTATCTATTGATAAATAAATAAGGTATTTAAATGGTACTAGTAGAACTATCGTCGAACGTAATTAAAGTATATTATCACACATATTGTTAAGTAGCTATCGAGGATTTTTAGTTCCCGTATTTGTATACAGTCAAAGGTTTTCCTTGATCTTCGCAACCTTAGTCCAGTCGTTTCGAGCAGTAACAATGGGTCTGACGCTTTTTGCTTCTCAACCTAAAGACACTGACACGATCATCACGTTTTCTCGGCGATGTTTCATTCATCAGTCAAATGAATCATCCCCTGACACGTTACGAAAGGTGATCAATCTTAGACTTTGCGCTGCTCCGGTGTTCTACGTCGATCGTTGGGATATTATTCTGATACATCACGCGAGCCCATCGAGCCTCGGTGATTCACATTCCGCGATAGTTGCTGATCACCCACGTTCGGCACTCGGCATTCTTCTCGCCGAGTTTCCCCGTTGAACGAGGAAAATTACGACGAATCGAGCACTCACGGTTCGGCTGGCAGTTTTCGGTGTGGCGGCCACCGTTTTATTTATAGCGGAGGAGGTCGTGATGCGTTCCAAAAGCCTCTCGTCGCACCAGTAACGCACGCACTGGCATACCGAGCCCGTCTCGAACCAGTTTCCACCGATCATCTTCTTGTTCGTGGTGCTTAGACATCTAAACGCGACATCAGCTTCGCGTGACGATCGTCGATCGATCCTCGACCGACCTCCGAACGATCCCTTCGACGACTCGGATCGTCTCGTTCTCAGTGCGCACGTGTCATCGTCGCGTTACGATTCGGGACCAAGTGTTGAGAAGTGGTTAAAAACTTGACGCTACGCGGTGTTGCTTTTGGAAATTATCGCACGACGCGTAGGAAAACGATTCGCGAAACGTGGAGGTAGATCGCAGAGCTTGGGATGCATCGAGGCGGAGAAGTCTTTCTCACACACCCAAGAACATCATCCAACCGTGACACGACGATTTTTATGAAATTTTTCGGATAGGTAGAGGGAATACTACTCCTCGAAGTTGCGAATAAAATATCGGTTTAGTTAAATTTTTCAAAAATTAGATTGAAACAGAGTGCAATTTAAACCTTCAACTGAAAAGTCTCGTCAACTAGGTTATACGAACATACTATTTGGCACAAACTACATCGCTTTTCGTATGCTAAGGTCAAGAGGTAGTTTCCTATTTGTTAATGTTCAAAAACTGTTTCGAAACACTGGATAAACGTTTCTGTGTGTGTTTGTTTTCAATGATGATTTGGCTATTTTTCTTGGAGCCCTCCTCTTGCAGAGAAGAACCTGAAGAAATAACTTTGAATGCTTGATTATATTATAATTAGATTGCCGACTTTATACATTTATGACATGCGCTAATATGAAAAACATGTTTAAAACATTTGCAGAATAAATTGATATACATTCTATTATATTCGTATGAAAATGCAAATTCATATAATAATATTATTCCTACTATTTTCTATTACTCGTTTCTAATTTTGTCAATTCTTTTTATCTTTATTTTTGTAACCGCGGGGCCCATCTTTCTTGTTCTTCTTTACACCTCAGACATATTTTCGCATTTATTTGAACCTATCTAACGATTAATATCAATGAAATAACATATATTTGTTTTTAATTATATGTACTTAAGAAAAGCTTTGTGAAAAAACGCTGAAAGTAAACAGTGAATATAAACATTATCTCAAACGCTTGCACAGTATTTTAAAACACCTCTTAAACCTCTTAAACATTAACAAAGGGGCAGATGCTTTTCGACCTTAGGATAAATTTAGATGTACAGTGTTTTTAAACATTTCTTAAATATTAACAAAGAGGGAGATACTTCTTGACCTTTGGATAAATTTAGATATGAAAAAGCAACAAATCCATGTTAAATATTGATGTAAATGGCATCATTTTGTATAAGTTATTTTAGATAATTTCATGTATAACCGTACGGATGATATGCTACCATTCCAGAAAAATGTATATTTTTCTTTGTATTTAAACGAACTGGAGAAACGGAACATATCTGACAACATTTAACGAAATTATTAAATCTTTATGTGCAAAATTGTAGTCCTTGTATTATGATAATAAATCCTTAAATTAAGAGAATTAACGAATTTATAGATAAATGTATAGTGTAAATCTAAATTATCGAAAATCCTATCCACAATTTAGTAGGTAGTTTTCATTCCTCGAACATAAATATTTAGTTGATCCAAGCAGAACTAATATTTATCCAAGATTGTAGAGATTGTAGCTATAGTCTTGCATTCCTGTGCAAAATTTCATGAAAACAGTGTCACAGTTGAGCAATGATCGTCGTTAATATTCAATTCTTCGCGCAAGTTTCTTCTATTATGTAGCAAGATTACTTCACTGCTACCGATAGATACAATCTTCAGCTGTATACCTCGAATTCTGCACGGTGCTCGTCGTTTCCAATCGTGAAGTCCGGTTCGTGCAGTCAAGGTTAAGGCTGAAGATTTATGCGTCTGATATACATACCATGCGAACGCGTCACGAGCAATCGCGATTGCACTTCGGCAGACATCCAAAGATCGGACGTCCGCGCGAACCAGTGGATCAGTGGACTGTTAGTTAGCCACACGAATGCAGGAAAACGGTTACAATCCTTCTCTATAGACACCTGCTTCGATTCGAAGATCCTTCAGTTCCGAGTCAGCTGATAGGGGTCATAGACGTAACGATTTGTCGTATAGTTAATTGCACAGTTTAAGAAGGATAGCAAAATCTGTCTTCATAAGATATTCGAGGCTTTCACGATCCGGTACTTCGTAGTTGATACTAACAGAAGTTTTCAAATGTAAAACGTGTTTTCTGGATAAGATATCATCGCGTTTCGCTAGGATTGCAGCTATCTTTTTCGGTGGTCAAATGGTAGACTGATATTGGCGTAACTTGTGTGATTTGAAACTTCCATAATTCAAATTACGTTAGACATCTGAAAAAATTCCATGGTAGGACTATTGGTAAACAGTTATAATCTATACTAATATTATAAAAAGGTAAAGTTTGTTTGTTTGTTGGTTTGTATGTAGGGGGTAATCTCCGGAACTACTGAACCGATTTTAAAAATTTGTCCAATTTTAGAAAGCTATACTATCCCTGAGTAGCAATGGCTATGTTTTATTTTGATAAAAATAAGTTTTCAATTTGAAATCTCAAAATTTCTAAATCATGTCGGAAGAAAAAGCGTTGCTTGGCTAATTTATCGGCGTACGCTGATTAAATGGTTGGATATATGTACGTGAAAATAATGTAATACAAAAATATTGGTTATCAATAGATCTAAAAAAAAGTCAGCGACACGATATACCTAGCTTTTATATTTAACCCTCTATTTACTGACGGAACTTATAAGTCCCGTCAATTTTCTCATTATATTAATTAAACGCTTTGAAACGTATTGTGACTTTCAAGTTCACTTCTGTGAAGTTCGTTTTTAATTGTTGAATGGCAGCACAAGCTTTCTTTCTTTTGGAATCTTGTTAGAGACAACTCTATAAGATGATATAAGACCAAAATGAACGCCTAGATTTTAAAAACTTTTGAGAAATTCAATAAATAAAGGGTTAAACCACAATGACGTTTCTTATGTCAAAAATGAATTGAAAATTATATAAGGTGAACCTTAAGGGTATTTATTAGGTATAATATATTAATTAATATAAAAAAGAATCATTTTATCATCTGGAAAATTTCATGAAAATAAAATTTTCCCATTACAGCACGGCATGTGGTCGCATAGTTTAGGAGATAATGAAAAATGAAAATAATTTACAGAGAAATGAGTTATAGGTCATTCATTACACGATCGACTTCGTTGTTAACATTTACGTTTAAAAATCTATCTCTATATTACACCCAGCTAAATGAGTTCAGTTGTTACGAAGTACCTAACTACATACTTACATAAACACTACAGTAATTATTGTACCTTACGCGAATAAGAATAGTATTTTACGCGGGTGAAACCGCGGGACGCAACTAGTGGCATATACATTCTAAAGGAAAATTTGAGTACACGTAAACTTTCGTGTATACTTCGTGAATATATGTAGACCATTCTATAGTATTAAAACCACAATAGATGCAGGTTGATAATAGAATTAAATAAGAGATCGAAATGTATAACAGATTTATGTACATAATAGACATGTGTCTTCAGAGCTATATGATCTTATAGACGCTTAAGGTGTAATACATACTTGTGCTCGTGTCATAGTTCATTGGTCACCGATAGAAGTTGTTACGACTTCTTCTTTCTATGTCGATATTTGAATGCGAGAATGTTCAAAAATTAGACCAAGCTTCCAAGTATTCGATCAGTACGACAACTTTCCCCATTTCATTAATAACAGTATATACGCTACTAGAAAGAGGTCCGTTACAATTGAAACGTTATCATTTTAATAAAATAATTAATACAATTGATACTTTACAAATTATTAGTTGTCACAATAATATCCTTCATCGTCAACCAGGGATAAAATCCAGGGATAAGCTATCCTAAACAGTTAGGATTTAACGAGGAGTAAATAACTAACCAATGTAATTGTTTAATTATCGTTGATACGATTATTTGACAGATACTTGTTAAGTTTTCAGTGTTATTGTTCGTAGATGTGTATTGTATTTGACTGCCACTGAAATTCGAGGCAGGACTTATCTTGAAGTATAAGTCGTTAACGTCTATAGCGAGTCGAAGAAATCTGGCTCGATGCATCGCCCATGATTTGCCGAGAAATAAGAGTTGCAGAGTGTGATTTAAAGTGAGAACGAACTGACAGTCTGCCCCCGTGATAAATGCGGTTTCGAACCTGGACTCGACGTACCTCGTGCCGGAAGTCGATGGACTCGCGAAGCTGACGATTGCTGATCCACGTAGGCGATCGAGTGAACGGAGTTTATTCGGTCGATTGTTCGCTCGTCGCTAGTTTTGGCGCGTTAAGACGCGATTCGCTCGGGTTCCGCGTCCTCTTTCCGAGAGCTTGCAAACTGTCACGTCCAGGGATAATGGCGCATCTTCGGCGGCCGGCCAGGCGGGAGCATTACAAGCCATTCGGCAGGAGGAAGGTAAATGAAAAAAAAACTAACGTGATCTTGATTTCGTGCTAATCGAATCTCTGGCGAACGAATCGAACGCGATTCTAGCGAGAATGTACATTCTACGCTTGAAATTTATGTAAATTTAATATATCGAGGTTTTCTTCCAGCAATATCTATTTACATATGAAGTATTACAAGCTGTTTTCTAGGTAACTAAAGACAACTAATGAGATTAAGACGGACTCTTACTTTTTACCAGTTTGGTTTTCATGATTCTTTCTGCAGCCAAAGTATTTGACATAAACTTTGGGAATTCGGAACATTTATTTATAGATGTATGTATAAGACACTGTTATATTTACAATTGTTCTACTTAATTTGCTTTGAAGTCACGTATAATCTTCTACGTCATGTCAATCAATGGAAATTAATCTTGTTTTATTCAATATGAATGTGGTTGTACCATAGACATATGAAGTATGTCTATGGGTTGTTCTGTGAACTAAGAAAACAAGTATTAAGGTCTATTTATACATATCCGTAATGTGTCAGTTCCGTATCCGTTCAGTTCCGTGATGTTCCATCAGTGTCAGTGATTTTAAATATTCTTAATCTTATAAACTCAAAACAATAAAAATTCTGCCTTATAAAAAAAGTTAAAATTGTCCTCATTTACAAATTTATATAGATTTAATTAATTCACGACAATAGATGAAAATTTCGCTTCATGAAAGCCATCCAAATTGCTTTCATTTCGATATGTATAAAATTTGAAACGTTTCAAGGAGATCAATAGAAATTTTACAAATATCCTACGTAGTGCGTATCGTACACAGTACATAACACACACTTTGCGCTAAATAACACACGTGTTGTAGTGTTGGTTGGATTAACATTAGTAGCATTCTAAGGGTGGTTTCAATGGAAGTTATCGATCGAATTAGAAGAGTCTATAAGCGGAGAAAGAATAAAGCGACATATAGTTTTTGTACGAATGCCTTGTGTAAGCAGTCTATTTTTGAAATTGTCTCTAAATGACAGGATGCTCCGATACCGCGTTTATACTGAAATAGCTGAGACGTCCTTCGATGCTCGAGAGTCCTCTCAGTCGCCAAGTTTTGCCGACTCAACCTTCTCTGTTTCGTACTCTGCAATAGAACAATCAAATTGTAAAATTGCATTTTTTATATCAAATGAATTGCCAAACTAAAATATTTATGAAGTAATAAAACCAGTGACCAGATAATCATAATTAATTATAAATGTAACTGTACATTTATGTACATTAGGACAGCTACGAAACATTGAAAAGAATTTTCTTGAATTTATGTTCTTAGATTTATTGTTATAATTTCAAACATGATCCCTGGAAGCTTGATTAAGATTATCAATTTTGTCTTGGATCATCTTCAAGTTGCATTCATCTAATTGGGAGAAAAAAATGTGACACAGTATCAAAGACTAAGGAAACTGTTTAAGGCTTTAAACAAATAATATCATAGTACGGATTAACAGAATGATTATCCTTATCATTGATCCACGGAGGACCTACAAAGACTAGCATATCTACAGTCTTAATGCAGCCCTACAACTACCCTATGTTGCTCTATTTACATAATAATAATATCTTCCGTATAGTTTATACGTTCAAGTTCAATCGAAAACGTATTTAGAGAAGTTCAAGGGGAAGTGAGTAAATGTCTAGAGAAATGCAAATAAAAAAAAGTCAAAGATTGCAGACGACAAGCTCGCGACCCTTATTTTCTCCCTCTTTTCGAATCCCGACTACGTTTGATTCCAATCCGATGCGAACGACTGTTACATTGTTTGTTCATAAATTGGATTTCACAGTGTTCCCAGAGAATTCGTAACACACGTCGGGTATAACTGGAAATCCTCCTGAAATCCAATTTGTTATACTGCAAAGCGAGCGTGCAATCAATTATTATTGGCAAGCTTCATCGAAACGCAATAGGATTGAAACACGAGAAATTCATTCTCGATCCTCGCGTCGCGTCTAATGTTGCAAATTCAATTAACACGAACAGTCCTTCGACGAGCCTCGCGCTGGACGACCGTCATGGCGACGAATTGGACGATCCACGACGTTGATAACCAATACTCGAAACGGGATGTGCCGTGACGTATATAGGGAAAGGTTGTCTTATTTTAACCGCGTTGATAAAAAGTTGAAGTAAGTAATTAAGCCGATATCGCGATACGTGGGTGACGTTCATGTTTGGGAATAAAAAATTGGATTAGTTATAACTTAATTTTGTGAAATTTGAGGTAATATCGAGACATTAGCATCTTATATATATGACAAAATATGATAACGTTATAATACACAGTTAACTTCCGATTTAAACGATTCTTCCATTTTTATACGATTCTTCTTTATCTTATTATTTCAATTATCTTGTTTAATAAACTGAAAATTATAATCGGAACAAATATTTTCGATTTGTTGGCGAGGAATATTGAAATCTAAAAAATGTGTCGGATATGGTTCAATTCAAGCAATTTTCCCCTGTCGATTCAAGTGATTAATTGAAACGGATACGACAGCATCTTCAGTATTCGTGAATGTTTTTTCACGTAAAGTTTTCTACGACTCGGGGTCCAGCGGGTGGTCGAAAGTACGTGCGTCGAAGCTCCACTTTTAACGCACTCCATCCAGAATTTCAAAAGGTAGTGAGTACTGAGGATCATTTTATTAGATGTTTGCAAATTCAGAGTAATTTACATTTTTAACCGATTTCGAAAAGGAAGAGGTGACTCAATTCGACATGTATATATTTTTTTTAATGACACCTTATTTTAAAATAATTGTTCTAAAACTTTTTGAATGTTACTTCCCTTTAAATAAAAAACAAAAGGTTTGTAGTGGATAATGAGTAACAAAGCGTTTGTTTTATGTTTTATTCAACGTATATGTGAATTGTTTTTATTGATTTCGATTAATAGATTAGGTACTTTATTTATTGAATCTAAAAAGTTATTTAAAGAAAATCTGTGGTCAAAGTAAACGATCACTGACGCCTCGCACTAGTCTCTTTATTTCTTGTAATGTTATTTGTTTCAATAATTTTTCTGTTTCAACGTTGAAGAACACTTTTTATTAAACACACATCTCAGCTGCTAAAAGAAATATGTTTCGAACATGTATATAAACCGGTTTCATATCAGTTCTATATTAATTTTGAAATTGCTGTTTGTAGATGGTTTCTCTATGTCTTTATAAATATATCGATTGTATTGTGTAGGTAGTAGGATTTTTTAATTAATTTGATATCAATAGAAATCAACTGTGCATCAATTTATAATTCATTTATTAGCAAACTTGATTATTGTTTGTATAATTGTCATCTGGAACCATTTTGTAAATATACAAGCTTATAAATAATATATTATCTAAATATTTGAAGTTAACGTAGTCCTTTGCGGTCCAGTGGCGACTCTCGATCGCCACGGCCGCGGCGCGTTTTGTGCGGCGTGGCAGGTCGAGTGGCGAGTGAGAGGCGCAGTCGGTGTTTATAATAGATTTCGTTACCTTAAACCGATACATTTGCATTTTCGAAAAATGATAATAAAACAGCTGAAAGGACATTTTCGACAGCCGCGCGATTGAGCTTCAAGATCGACCTCGAATTCTGACGAAATTCGGCATTCCTAAACTCCTCGAAAGCTCCATATGATTCTTATTGGAACAAAGAAGGATTGGAAAGTTTGTTCTAGTCGAAACAAACTAGGTGGAACACACGAAACAATTTATTACTGTGATATATGTCCAGATAAGCCAAGAATGCATCTTCGTCAATGTTTTATAAAATATCATACTAAAGTAAAATACAGAATTTAATTTTGCAAAGTAATACTCTTAAAGTTGTTAATATAGATAAACTATCAAAATATAACGTTTTTGTAAGATAATTTATATACATATAAGATCATTTACCTGATACCTCGCCCGGCTGAGAAATTCGTCGATCGCAAAGGGTTAGATCTGTGCATGGAGACAATAAGTTTCACCACGGAAAATAACCGTTCCATGTTCACCTACATAAATGCAACTGTTAACCCTGGCCGTGCTACACGACGATATATCGTTGTTCGATATTCTTGCCAAAAGTGCTAATAACGATATATCATTGCGTATATTATGTGGTGATCTTATGCATGTTGACTTCACTCAAGTGATAATTCCATATAATGTATATGCATACAATTATATTAAAGGCTAATTCATATTAGATATATTTATAATGATATGACGAGAAATCCCACCTAATTACATTACATGATTTTATGGAAAAAAAATTATAGACTTCGCGCACATGCAAGAGTTGGAAAGATTGAAAATCAAGTCTCGCGACTAACTGATCGCGAACCGCCACCTGCTGCACCATACTTCATGATTTTCCGGGACAGGACATTTTTTTCCAGAAAACCCCTTCATTGGTTTGTGACGCACTAAGAGCCAATTGTAACGCAATATTTTTTTGTTACTACAGTAAAATCTCCTTAAATGTACAAATTTCTATACGACAAATGCACAGAAACCATCCCCACTACGGACCACTAATACCAGCTACGGCACCTTGATGTTGTCCCTGCTAATCTAAATCTAATTTCACTTTACACTTTACACTTTACACTTTTACACTTTACTCTTTACGCTTTTGCGCTTTACACTACATCTTTGCACTTTGCACTTTATAAGTTCGCAGCCATTAACTCGATATTACTCGTGACGAACAATCCTTCTTGAGTATTAATCTTTTTTCATAGGAGTGTAAAAGATTACAGAGATTAATATTTCGAAACTCTTGAAATTTTATACACCAGTGCTTCTCAACCTTTTTAGACTAAAAAACGTCTATTTTGTCGGGTCTTCTTCTTAATTCGTCCACATAGTTTTTTAGAGCTTGAAATTGCATGGAAATCCCCAAAATAATGTCGGTTAGGTTTAGGTTAGGTATAAGTAAAACGATAAATGTATTTACGATAATATTTTCTATACGATA